ACATTTATGATGATAACATGTTCAAGTTGTTTGCATGGAATATGGTTGTGGCTAATTTTAATTTCCTGATGTAGTCTAGAGGGCTGGCCTGGAATCTTCTGGATTCTAAGCCACAGCAATCCTTTTGGTGATCCCATATGCAGGGATTAAGGGATTACAAACTTGCATCAGCAAGCATATCCTTATTCCGGATTCTTTACGTTAGTATGATGAAGTTTAAATTGGTATAATAGCTTCCTTATCATAATAAAACAAATGTGCTTGCTATGATGAAAGCAACATTATTAAATTCTATCACTTGCCTGTACATCTACAGGTCTTAGAGTACCTAGATGTCAGCTCTAATAGCCAGAACGTCTCTGATGTTCTCATGATTTCTGGCCAAGAAATAACTTTATGTCAGGCTTATTGCTCAATTACTATTATTAATATTGGTGGTATTTTGGGTGTTTACTTGTCAAAGAATTATAATTTTAACTAGTTATACATGTGGTATGTAAATTAACGTTTATGATTTTTCTCTTAATATTTCTCATAAATATTAGAGCATTTTTGGAAGGAGTCCACAAGACAGGAGACAATTGCTGAAGCCAAAAGAAAATGTAATCACTTGTCTGCGTGCACCTTTCTGAACTGTGTGATCCACCTTTTTCTGGCTAATTTTGTCCTGCTTCCTGCCTTCCTGAGGAGTGCCCAGCTGGATCTGGTCAACAGCTCCCCTCGCCTTTAAGGCTTTGTCAGGCAAAAGCAGTAATAAAGAGGTCCTAACCTCTGTGGCGCATTGCAAGGACCACTGTTTGTCAGAATGGAGACTGTGGCTTTTCCCCTCACAAGAGGGCAAGTATTTCTAAACTCCGATCTCGGTCTCTCTGCTGGGTCCTTCTTTTTAGCTCTGGATTTTTCTGGAGGTTAATGTTCTGTCTCTGAACGAGTCTTGTGTAAACAGGAGGAAGACAAGAAGGAAGAGACAGCGCAAGACTGGAAGGGCGCCTGCGGATCTGGTAGTCATTTGGAACTGCGCGGTTTCCAAGGAAGGTCTGCCCTTGAGATCAAAGCACTAAACTCGCCGATCCTTCCAGAAGGAATTGTTCCAAAACTTCGAGAATTCCAAACTCGAAAACGCTTGGCTATTGGCGCTCTACGCTGCTGTCTTCCTTCTTCTCTTTCATTTACGGGCCTCCTTGAACTTTTCTTTGGAAAAGGTAGTCTGTGTTTGCACCCCCCAAGCTGACTGACGGGGGCCCGAGGCAGCTGGAAGAAGGCTGGATCCATCTGGGCAGGTTTTACAGAATGTGCTTTCTCCACCCTGTTGTGAGGATTTGGGATGCAACTTCCTGAAGTCTGTGGGTGAGTGTGGCCCCCAATTCTTGCAATCCTGTTGTAGGTGGCAATCCACCAACATTATTTTTAAGTAAATGAGAATCAAATGGCCTTGAGGTAAACATGGTGAAGGTATAGAGATGCCCATGCCAAGGCTTTGTTTATTAAGTTCTTATTATATATTTTTAAAAACAAAAAACTTAGCATTTTTTTATTTGATTAATAATGTAGAAATGATAAGAAAATCCTCTGCATTCTGAAAGGGGGAAAAAAACAGAGCTGGATCTCCCAAGATTGTATTTAGTAGTCAGAGAACTAGAGATATCTTGAGAAAACAGAGAGGACCATAATGAAAATTTCAAAACATGTTCTGACCAAAACTCAACAGGAAAAGACTAAATGTTCCTTTTGGAAAGTGCGTAAGAGATGCGGAGAGACGTCTCACTAGAGATGGATGCAGCCACAACCGTGGCCTCCGTGAAAAGATGCTCCTCTTCCTTAGACACTAGCTTTACGTTAATAGGAACTGAATACAAAACACTAACTATGTATCGACATGTGCCTGACACAGTGGATACTTATAACTTGGGGATAGCCAACAGCTGTCTAATTGAACTTAAGACCTAGTCAATATTCAACAGGAGGTAAAACATGTCTGGGACTATGTAAACCTAGCCAAGTTCCTGGGGCTAGTGAAGTCATAGAGCTCAGAGGAGAACCTATTCCCACTAACTTATAGCCCAGGATAATTCCTAACTCATCCTAAAACTTACCCATAGAGTACCTCTCACCCCGTATTAAAGCTTGTCTCTGTAACAGGTGGAGATCACAGAAAACCACAACTCGTCAAAATGAGGAGAGCAATTGCTTGTGTGATGGCCAGACCCAACAGATCCATCTACAGCCAACTCCTACACTGTAGAGAGCTGCGTGGAGCCGCACCTAAAAGACGGCCCCGGCTTCCGCCTTATTTGGCTAAGGCCAGGATCACGTGATGATCGTAAGCTGCTTGCGTATAAGTGGACCTATGGACAGTGCCTACGTAGCGCTCCAGGATTGGCTGCCCAGGGCTACTTAAGGGCTGGGAGGAGCTTGCCCCGGGAGAGAAGCTATTGTAACAAGGTCCTGAATAAACTGCTTGCAAGAAGAGCTCCGGTGTTGCATCTTCCTTGCTGATCGAGGTGGTTGCGACACTACACCTAGCAGGGAACATGGTCGAAGAGGAGACAGAAGGATTAAAGAGCCCAAGCATGCTGTGAGATTATGTCTCCCGAAAATGACAGGGAAATCCTCACTTAGGCAGTACATACACTAAAATTGGAACACTGTGAGGATGATGAACATGGCCCCTGTACAAAGAGGACATACAAATTTTGAAAGTATTCTTTATTTTAAAACACGGAAACAAACAAACAAGTAACAAGAAAGTTACACCCATGGTTGAGGTGGGCTTCCCCTCTGTATGCTGTGAATACCATTGGTTCATAAAGAAACTGCTTTGAGCCTATAGCAGAGTCGGGCAGAAAAGAACTAGGTAGGGAAAACTAAACTGAATTCTGGGAAAAAGAAGGCAGAGTCAAGAGAAGCTGCCAGAGACAGACATCCCAAAACTTTGCCCGTAAGCCACAGCCACATGGTGATGCATAGAATAATGGAGATGGGTTAATTAAAGATAGGAGATAGCCAGAAATATGCTTAAGCTTTGGCCAAACAGTATTGCAAATAATATGGCTTCTGTGTGATTATTTCAGGGCTGAGCAGCCAGGAACAAACAAGCGGCCTCTTACAAGTAATGATACCCCCCCCCACCTCCCCACACACAGTAAGGCTGCTAAAACAATACCTGCGCACTGATAACACCATTGGATGTGCTAGTGTGAAAGGGAAGAATCTCATGGGGAACAGAAGTGGAGGGGTGGGGGGAAGGGCAGCCCTAGACAAAAAACTACTGGTAACCAAGGCAAGCTTGAGTAGGGGAGAAATACCCTTTTCCAAGCTTGAGTCCCTTAATTTATTATCCAATCAGAAGTCTTCAGCCCAGAAGTCATATACATATAAGCATTACTAAAAGGACTCAGTAGGCTATATTCAAATCATTAAGCGGCCATAAATTAGAGAGGAAGTAGAATTATGATGGTGGGAAGTGGGAGGGGTTGGGGAAGAAAAAAGAAGGGGAAATGATGTATGGTAACTAAAATAAAAACAATTTTTAAAAAGGTATTTAAATCACCCACAGTCATAGATATAAACAGATGACCAGAAAACCTGACTAAGAATACAAAAAAAATATTCCACCATCACAGGTAGTTAACTGACCAAACCATTTCCAAACAAGACAAATGCTTAGCTATGGGCAACCAGGAGCTTCTGCCCTGTTCCATTTCCTGCCTGATTGGAAGAGTAGAGATCTAACTTGAAGAGAGAAAGTGGTACCTCTCTTCAGGTCAATGCCACGCACTTCATATGCTTTAAGTTGTTAAATTGAATCAGTTAATTTTTCTCTTAACACTATTCATTCATATTTGATCATGTATAAGTTAAATTATGAAATAAAGTCAATATATTTAATTCAAATGTAAAATTTTAAAAGTGATGTAGGTGGTTGTCTCAAGTATACCAATGTAAGGATTGTGTAGGACGCACAAACAGAGACAGGATTTTTCTAAATGCTAATCTAATTCTTGCAAAGCTAACCAATGAACCTTACTGTACAGTACAACACGTTTGCTATACTTTGAAATATTATTCATGAATATATAACACCCAAACCACTATTCCAGTATCTGTTACATGTGTCAACTTATGTGGCATGTTCTCAGACTCTAATACACAGTCAGCACCCCTGTGCTGGATAGTTTTTTTGTCACATTAATATATGAGTGTCGTTCAGGGAGAGGCAACATCAACTGAGAAAATGTCTCTGTCACATTGTCCTATAGGCAAGTCTATGGGGCATCTTCTTAACCAATGATTGGCATGAAAGGGCCCGATGCATTATTGGCATGAAAAGGGCCCAATGCATTGTTGGCCCAATGCATTGTTGGCTATCCCTGAAGAGGTAGCCCTGGAGTGATGTGAGAAAGGAAACCAAGCAAGCCTTGGGGAGCAAGTCAGTAAGCAGTACTAATCCATGGCCTCTGCAGTTAATTCAGAGAACAGTTAGCACAGACATACTACTATCATTGCTTCTGTAGCTTTGTCAAACTCAAACATGGAGAAAGTTTGTCTTTCAGTTCAGATGAGGCTCCACAAAGACCTACTTTGCCTTCCCACCCAAAGGAAATCTGCGAGTCTTGAGCCTCCCTTTCCTATATCAGACGTCATGCATGGCCGGTTGAAACAATTGCCACATAGAAGCCTCCCTGCCTGCCCCTACGGCTTATATTCTGGAACCTCCAACCCATTATCCACAGTTCAGTCATTTGATCATGGAAAACTAAGTATGACCCACTCACTATTCTCCCAGTGACGCTAAGGACAAAGTTCAAACATTTCAGCTTGGCTCCTATTATCTGCCCTTCCGTATCTCTCCAGCCCTATCCAATCTCATTTCTTCTTACACTCTATGTACGTCATTGCTGACCAGTTCTGTTCTTTGCACATATTGTAAACCTTATGATTCTATCCACAGATGCCTGCTAGCATGAATAACAGTTGGCAGAGGCTGCTTGTTCATTTCCTGGCTTCCCAGACCTGAAATAGCCACAGAGAAACTATATTAATTACATCTTAAAATAACCCATTTCTATTATTTCATATTTTACCACGAGGCTCAAGGTTTATTGGTGGCTACATGGTGTCTCTCTAACTCTGCCTACTCTCTCCTCCTCTATCTGCTTGGAATTCCCACCTTGCCCTATTCTGTACTGAAATAGGCCCAAAGCAGCCTCTTTATTAACCAATGGTATTCACAGCATACACAGGGGATTCCCATATCAAATAACAGCTGGAGTCATATTACCTCTGCAAAATTCCATAATTTGTAACTCAGTTAAATATCCCAAGTCTGCACAATATTGTTGACATTCTACCTCAGTCTATATTAAACACTTAATAACTTTTCATTGTAGCAAGTAACCAAGTAGGAACAATAAACACCAAAATATTTTCGTTACTTAAACCAGAGATGGGATCATGTGGAAGTAAGCTTGCTGCCTTTGTCTGAGAAACTCTACACTTGGACTAGATATGGCAGAGAGCCAGGTTTTGATTCACTGAGAAGTTTTATTACACTTAATGTATTCACTCCTTCTTGAATCTCTAAGCACGACCCTGATATAACCTTTCCGCTGGCACCTTTCCATTTGGTCCTTCTCATTCTCACCCTTCCTCAAAATCTTGCTAATAATCAAAGAAGAAAAATATAGGGCGCAACCAAGAGTTGCAGTTTCCTCCTTCCTAGATCTGATTTGTCTGCACTTGGCATCCCAGCATGGCGAAAGTGGTGTGGCTTCAGTGACCCATGTTTGTGAGATAATATCTCTCCACTTCTATTATCCTAAAACCCCTAAAACACTCTGTGCCCCATGTACTGTAGGTGCTATTATAGTCTCCCCTACTCCTGAATGAAGTGAAAGGTAAAGAGCTCTCCAGCTAAGATAAAGTTTTCTTCTCCAAATATTTGTGACTGGGGTCACCACAGGTGAGAGCAGAACAAACATAGGGCTTATTCAACCCCCCAAAAGAACCTTACTCCATCTCTCTTAAAGAAGCTCTTTAAATCTGAATAAAGTTTGCTGAGAGAAAGGTGAGGTTGGAATGTGAGTAGGTGAGAAAGGGTTAATCAAACTTAGTGATCGCTTCTAGAAAAATATATCATCAACACACCACCGTTCAAAACCAGTGGGTGATGTAAAGCCCAAGTAGGTGAACAGTAGCTTCTAGGAGGGAAGGAAGTAGATAAAGTGAAGGGTAGAAGAGAGGGAGAGAAATGACAGAGACCAAAGGACACCAAAAAGAGAACCTTTGCCCAAGATGTACTCAGTCATGGAGGAGGCAGCACTGTGGTTCCTTCGCTGAATACTTGCTATGTGCCAGGCCCCTCCATCCTGTTGCTTTGTTCATCATGTTTTTATACATAATGACACTAGGAAACATATTACACAACAAACAAAATCACACTAACATGTGTCAATAACATAATAATGTTAATGTTACTATATTAGTTACTATATTGCTAATATATCTTATTACTAATACAGTAGTATTTTGCCACAGTCAAAATATTATGAAGCCATATTTTAAGCCTTGAGAACAAGGTCGAAACCACAAACTTAAAACCAAAATATCCGACTCCCTTCCAAATAAACAGGAAATTACAGTGTCCCATATCAATAGAGAATATTGCTACAAATGCCAAGGGACCAGAGAAAATGTGCACCATCAGTAGAAAGAGTAGAAATCAGTAGTAAAACAAAATTTCTCGCCCTATGATTCTTTTTTTTTAAATATGAAAATGGCTTTCACTGGATTAGCACCCTACTATTTACAGGACTGAACTCTTTTTAGAAGCTGTTTGGGAGAATCATCTCGTCTCCTGTTGTAGTGTTAAATAAAATGGTCTCCAACGAGAGTGGTACTATTAGGAGGTTTGGCTTTGTTGGAGTAGCTGTAGCTTTGTTGTAAAAGTGAGTCGCTTTGGGGGTGGGCTTTGAGGTTTCATATGCTCAAGCTGTGCTCGGTGTGGTGCACAGTTCTACAGTGATATTTTATTTATGTTTTAATAAATAAAGCTTGCCTAAAGGTCATAGTGCAAAGCTAGCCACACTAGTCAGGCATGTAGGGCAGGAAGTGATTGCACACACCTTTAAACCCAGCAGCCACACTAGTTAGCCATAGAGGATGGGTGGTGGTCGTGTACGCCTTTAATATCAGCACTAGAGAGGAATATCAGGTGAGATGAGATAAGAATTCACTTTCTTTTCAGTCTGAAGATTTTGTAGAGGTAAGAGCTCTCTTGTGGCTATCTGCTTTGCTTTTCTGATCTTTCAGGTTGAACCCCAATATCTGTCTGTGGGTTTTTATTATTCATGCTACATATGGCACCCAATTTGGGGCTCGAAACCATGACCCTGAGATTAAGAGTCTCATACTCTACTAACTGAGCTAGTCAGGCCGAGGTCTGGGGGAGAGCATTGCTGTCCGCAGTCACATTGAGGACAATATCGCCCCTTTTTGTCTGAGCCTTGGTCGAGGTAAGAGCTCTCTAGCGGCTTGGCTGCTTTGCTTTTCTGATCTTCAGGAACCCCAATATATGTCTCTTAGTTTTTATTATTCATGTTACATCTGGCACATAATATTTGCGGTAAGAATTCGGAAGAAAGTCATTTGTCTGTTGCTTTCCAAACACCAACACAGGCCGGAAGTACATGCAGCTGGAATCACCATCCCACTG